TTTTGTCTTATGGAACCCTCACTTTTCTTTTAACTTGTTAAGCAGATCATTTTTTTGAAATTGTTGATGAACATCTATGTTTATTATACACAGTTTGAATGAAAACACATCAAATAACGGATCAAATATATACGTAATATATTACATTATTTTATAATGTATAATGTATAGTATAATAATATATTACAAATATTACACTGGGGGGCGGAGTGGCCGAGGGGACTAAGGCGTCGGCCGCGAAGCACACCGACGCCGGTTCGATACCTCGGCCATGTGCTGCATTTTCTTCGGGCAAGTCACAGTGTCCGGAGAACAAGTGCCGCCATCTCCCAACCGGGCATGGCAGATACTTACGGACGCCCAAATCAAAAATTCTGCCAAAATAAACACACACGTGTTCCTCCCCCCTACCAACAAAAAACCTACAAACAAAACAAAAAATAGCTTATGGCCTAGTTGCGGGCTCAAGCCAAGCTCAAAAAAATAAAAAATAAAAAAAAAATAGTACTACATTAAAATATATATATCTAATATATATGAAGTATATAATATGATAAACTGAAAGGTAGGTAATGGTGAATGCATACAATGCCCTAAAAAGTAGTAATGTCGTATCATGTACAACATAACGTATCATGTACGTATAACAGCAAAATTCAGACGATAATTCAAAATAATTGATATTTATAGGATACGCAAATAGATACTCAACACGCTTGAAGTTGATAGACAGATCATTTCGATTTAGCCTCCACAAAGAGAAGCAACTGAATAGTGTAATAATACTTAGTTTTTATCGGTACATTACAATTGTATTGTACCTTGCATTATATAAACTGCAGTACCTCGGGCGGTCGTAAGTGCCGGATAATTCATCTGCAAATCGTGACCCGAAAAACATGCACCGAGGTGGGTTGGCACGCAGTATATTATGCATGTATGAGAGTATTATATTATTATGTTAACATATCGCGCCAAATGAATGCATCCGAAGATAACAGTGATAGGATATATTATTTTCATCTGAGGTCATGGACAAGAAGAGTTTCAACTTCGATAATATTATATAGGTATAAGTGCAACGAAAACATTTTTTATATTGTTATGATATAATGTCATCAAGTGGTAATAATGGTGTACGCATAATATATAGGTAAGATTATGTTTTGGTTAATATTATATTCAGCAAATTCTGAAGTGTATAATACCTATTACATTACCTACTTTTGTCGTTAAAATATAGACAACGTCAGACTTAATTTGCATACAAAAGAAACGTGTATGTAAACATATATTTACTTATTAAATAAATATATAATAATAGAAATAGAAATATACTCTTACATTATAATATGATGAACATAACGGTATAGTCGTGTATTTGTCGAGAATTCGATATTACTTGGATTTCGATCCGAGAACGAACCCTGTCTGTTTTTTTATCTAGACTCTAGACCGTCATCCATCGGTACAGGTATTTTCCTTCGACGATCGAGGAAATGACTAGTAACTATCTACCGAGTTTATCGAAAAGTGATATTTTCATAACAGCTATATAGTCACGCCATTTAGACTGAATATTTACCAATCTATTCAAAGGTACTCACGGGACTTTTTCGTGAGCAATCGTTCTACTATACCTTCTACCCGAAATTATAATGTTTGAAAAATCAATTTTCAAGACCGCACCGTAAGACCATAATATTACCCATCATCGCGTCGTTCCGCGGGCACTATGTGTCGGTTAACTGCTGGTAATCGCGTTTCACCCGGTGATGAAGAGAGCGGGCGTCGACCGATTTTCCATCGAACCCACGTAAGTATATTATACGACACGCGGTGCCGATTTTTGACGTCTAGCGTCGCCATTTCCGGTCCGTCGGACCCACCACGCCGCTCGTTTCCGGTCACCCCTCCCCTCTATGCGAATAGTGAACCTATATACCTCGAACAACGACATGTGACTTGAAAATCAAAAGGCAGCCCGTGCCGCGCCGTCGTAACGCGAGTAGTGCCGCCCTCTATACCTCTCTTCGGGGAGAGTGCACTCGAGTCGCGCGAGCGATGTGTAATTTGAAAATAATAATAATAGCAGGCGACCTGTGTGCGCGCGTCACAATTCACGCGCGGCAATTATAATCTCGAGTGTCAAAACGCAAACGCAAAAACGCCCCACCGGACGGTATATACATAATATTATGCAGCCCCAACTCCCCGACCAACCTCGAGGGATGACGTAGTGATGCAGTTCGCTCACAATTATGCATGCATATATTATTATTATTATTATGTGCGTAGAGTGGCCCGGAAGTTGATGCGCATTTCCGCGTAGATTATATTATATATGGTAGTATATATATAGATATACGCCAATTCCGACAGCCGTAGGCCATATATATATATATGCGAATTCGCGGTATGATACTGCAGTAACGATATATAATATATATTATACGTATAGGTACTTATTCTGCACTGCTCTCTATTCAATCGAAATACTCGTATATTATATTATTATGCATGGAACCTAGTTATTGTCTAGTAGCCTGTACTTAAGTATCTAAACTGCATAGTTATGTAAGTGTGTTTTGGGTTTCAACTGAATACTGACTATATAGTATATTATATATTATAGACATTCGGGTAACACTGCACAATCACGAGCTTTCCTAAAAAAGTTTACATATTTTATTTTTAATAGGACCAGTAAATTGTATTTGGGTTTTTTTTTTAACTGAGTTCCGATTACTAATTGTTGTTCCCTAATATACAGAAATAAAAATACTTTTTTTTAACCTATAGGTACTTTTGTTTTATACCTAATTCACTTTATATATTTTAGGTGGACGTACTTATACTGCAGTGAGGAACGGTTAAATGTTTTGAATTCGAAATATGGATGACGAGGTCGTGCACAAACATTTTATCTGAAAATTAATATCTACGTACGTTTGATTTCATATTGTCATCGATGACAATATAAGAAGAGACGCCCATTTTACCATACTATAAAGCTACCCCGGAAGTGCGGTAAATCGCGGTGCCTTACATAATGTGCAAAACACGAACACGGTACAGAAACGGAAGCCGCTACGTGTAAAGTACCTACATTGAAATCGGGAATGTGATCGAACTTCAACTTTTAATATTTCGATAACGGCCGATCAAAACACATTACCCACTCTCTCGTACTACTTTTTCATCTAATTTATAATATTATTATAATATGCGTAATATTGTAATTGCACATTATATGTTTGATTTGGAGACGATTTTATAAAAGTATTTACACACCCGCATCTGGAAACAGTCGGACGGACCACGCAAGACATAATATTTTTATTTTATATTTTATTACCTAGTATAGGTATACTGACCTATATTAGATTAAAAAAAAAACCACTTAGGTGAACATGTAATCGTCACCAGATAAGTTTTAAAATCTATTCGAAAATAACGTAATTTATAATAACGTTCCACATTTTTCATTATACTCGATACCGCACAGCGAATCGTATACGAGTAACTGTTCATCATATTGATATCAAGTTTATTTCTTCACAAAATAATCGCTTTGCTATATTATGTTTACAGCGATGAAAGTCAGGAATTTAGGGTATTACCTTTATTTAGTGGTTTTACCTTTAGAATTAAAGTTTCTTGTATCTAATTATTATTTACATGGGGAAAAAAATGGGATTATGCGGTTTTCCAAATGATTCAAAAAGAATAAATCAAGCATAAGGTCAAATCAGATGAAGTGCTGTCGTATCGTGTACTTTGGGGATTTATCTACAAACATTTGGCACGGTTAAGTGTTGTAAGAAAAAAGTTACATTTTAAATAACTGCAAAAATTAACAGCGCTTGAACTATTCAATGTAAAGCCAAAAAGTGCCCTGATTTTAAAAACGAATACAACCGAAATAAGTTTGGTAAATAACTTCAAACTAACGTTGCCAAATATTAATGCATTTACCTCACAAAAAAAGTGTTAATTTGAAAAACAAACATTATTGTACAATACATTCACAACACACGCATCCATTAATGTATACTGTATAAAAAACCATTACGGAAATTCAAATATTTTTTACAACTGCAAGGCGCATCACATTAAATGAACAAAAAGCGACTAACTAAAAATCTCAAGTTGCTTTGAATATTGTTATAAGTATAATCAGTTTTGTTGTTTTATTAGTAAAACGTGACTTCACAACACCGCATTAAACAATTGTTTATTTTTTTCTTGTTACTCACAAATAAACGATACAACTATCAACATAAGCGTAAATGCGACATATTATTATGTATTTAGGTAAACGTTGAATATTATATTTCAATTACAAACTCATTTTTTTTCGAATTTATTTTTCTTGAAAACACAATGAAGTATCCTGGCTATACGGAGAACCTGAAGTTAGTATAGTATGAAATTTAATAATCTGACGTACAAGTAAAATCATTTTTCTCCGCAGACATTATTTGCATCATTATAACGTACCGTGATAGAACTCACTGACTTTGTTTATTAATTTGTTTTATATTTAGGTGAAGGAGTATAGGTATATGAACCCATTTTCGAGAACACTACCATCGCGTTACTGACAGATCAGTAATGAGTATACTCCAAAAGTCCGACCCCACCATCGAATAACTTTACCGAAATTTTGATTTAATTTATAAAATGTCTACTGCTTATATCGATTATTATTTTCGAAGTAAAGGCGACAAAAATATTTCATTATACCACTGTATTTTACCATATTATTATAATATATCGACGATTGTCGAGGCTAACGACGAAACATAATCTGGCGAATTTCAATTCGTCAATCGTTTGATTTTTCTTCTTCTTAACATATACATGCATATTTTAATCAATACATAGTTTATACAACGGGAAAATAAATTGTTCTAAGAAAAAAAAATGGTATTTATAGCAACGCATCATAACACTATAGTAATATTATACACCCACTCACTGCGAACAGGTACATTTCACGTGGGCCCGGCTGGGGCGGGAGCTGCTGAACGTGGCCGCCATCGCAGACATTTCGCGTCGATTTCTTTGTAGTCCGATCCTCGACGTTTTGACCTTTCCAAATACTCGTCAATCACTTCCTGTGAACAGATTTCAACTTTAAAAAAAAAAATCCACGTCATATAGGTACAAGGGCGAGTTAATATCCGGACAACATATTATTATGGGTGTAAAGTAGTGTAACGGTATTTTTTTTTAATTGCATATCTGTAGACAAGTTAGGCGTTCAATGCAATGCTGCAATTGCGATATTGCTACAATAATCTCATCACTCATCATCAGTAACCGATACTTCTGTATTATTTTTATATTATCGTACCGATTCGAAAAGACGAGAACAAATGATACTAATGATAAATAATATATTTCATACGGGTATCTATTATAATAGTTAACAATAAATTATAAATACATACGAAGTGTGAGACGTTTATTAAAATGTATATTTAAACTTTAAATATAGATCCAAGGCTCCAAATAAATTTAGCGTAATTATTACACTGTAATAACAAGAGAGAATTGTCGGTAAAAAAAAATAGATGAAAAAAGACCGACCCGGTAGAACGGAAATGTCAGGACGAGCACGGTTTTCATACGCCTATAGTTCTGTGTTCGTTTTCATTGAAATGATTGCAATGTTGAATAAATAATAAATTCCAATCACGACCTATGATATTAGGTTTTCAATGGAAAATCAGTGTTATTAGTTGTCCGCAGCATCATCGAATGCGACAGTTTCCGAACCCAATTGCGTTCTTCTTATAATCTAAATATCTAATATAATAATATGATTCACTACGGTGTAATGTATACGATTCGATAACGTAACCAGAATAGCGTGGTGTAAATGTACAACAATATTGTATGACATTATCACATACCCATCGGATTCTTTTAAAGGAATTTAAAATTGACAGTGATCAAGCACTACGTAAAAATATAAACTTGTCAGAACAGATATAAGCGGCGGCCGACATACTACGCGATGGCTATCGTACTTGGTTGGTAAGTAGATTTTGTATAACATAGATGAGTGATAATAATTAAATATAATTATGGCGCGTAGGCACATTTTAGTATGATAGTTGATTCGATTTATGTAGATCATTGAAGAATGCGTACGAAAATTGTAATGACTATAGTTTTAATTAAAAAATAAAAACGGCCACCCGGATTAGGTTAGCCCGGCCATCCGGGCTCCGGATTGACAACTAGACAAGTCAAACTATCTAGGATGGCTATACGCATTATTGAGTAATGAAACGGTTCTATAGGCTTTATAAAGTTTAATTAAGTCAAGTACCAAGTGACTACGTTCAACACTGCATTGTTGATCAAATTTTGAAAAATTACAAGCGCGCAAACTACAATAGCATACAGAATAAAATTAATGGCAATTCGAAAAAAAAAGATCAAGTTAAATTTACTAGTGTTATATGTAATAAATGAGTATATAAATATATATACCTACGCAATACGCAAGGATCAATCGGTTTTTTTTTTATTTGAAATAAGATAGAAAACGTGTAGAAAAGTATATAAAACAACATTTTTAATAATTCAACAACATTTTAGATTTTCAGTGAAGTGTGGAAGCAGCTGAGTTATTGGTTTTATAGTAGGTACCTATACATTTTACATGTATACGTGTCTCAACCACCAGCAATATATCGAATCGCCGACCGCTATATACGGCAGCGGCGAGTAGGTACGTATTTGCTCGCTCAAAAGTTTTTTTTTTTGGTAAATTTATCATACATAGGTACTTCAATCCTTTCATGTTAAGTAAACTTAATGTATAGATAGATACAGTCGATATTGATACAACTCCATATTATGTTTGTAAAAACCGCGATTAATGGGTAGGTACATATAAGGTAGCAAAAATTGGTTTTTTAGAAAACCGTCAGTGACCGCATGTGTCTATAGAATCTAGATAGAATACATATTTTTTTTTATTATCGTGGTTGTATTTGTAACTGTTCTAAATAACTCATTCAACAAAACATAATATTGATGTTAATATTTTTAAAATATAGGTACCTAGTCTAAAAGGTAAAAATCGTCAATATTACCTATAGGTATCTTTTTATTTTGCTAAATTGTTAGTAAAGGTTTTGTAAAAATGAAGAAATTATATTTCCATGTAGGTGCATTAAATGTGTTACGTAAAATTACAATTACAGTATAATTTGGAAAGCGAAGGAAAAAACTCTAACAAAGTAAATTGCAATATACATAAATATTTTTTTTTTTTTTAGTGATCAACAAAGTTATAACACGCTATTTTCTGCACGCGATATTGTTAGGTACAAGAAAATATAATGAAAGTATAGTCACAAGAAAATGTCAGTGATTAAACAGGTTCTTAATTCACTAATATATAATAATAATAATAATAATAAAGAAAAACCTAGCCATTCATAAAAAAACCAAACCATGATTTGATCCCATTGTTTTTTTAAATGCATCTGATACATTACAAATTCAGACCAAATGAATTAAATCATCTTAAAATTTCACATTACAACATATAAATACCGTTAATTAATTTTTATTCCAGTCATTAAAATAATATGATAATTTATTGATAATTTCAATCTTTCTTGCTCCATTCGCCAAACGTGAATTTATAACTAGGTATGCAATAAATCAGATTTTTGTAATTTGATAAATATTGAACAACCAATGTCCAGTTAATAATGTAATACCTAGAGTTATTCAATTATTTTTAATTAATGGACGGTTTAATGTGTTAAATACTTTTTTTATTTTTAAATGTATGTTCCTTGACGAGTCAAAAAGTGTATGCGTTTTATATCTACTTGATTAAGAGGTTTAAATAAGTTAATAATGAAATGGAAAATTAACCAAATACAAAATGTAATAGTTATTATAATTTTTGTTAAAACAAATGCATTGTATAATATTTAATGATATATAAGTTTTTTATAGCACAATAGATACAATTCAATGAATTGGGTATACCATTTCTTAAAACGTTGAAAAAATTATAATTTTAAAACTAAACTGCAGTAAAGTACAAATATATAAAACATAACCGTACGTTTATTATTATTTATTCTCATATTTGCTTAGGTCAATAAATACAAAGTATAAGCGATTTGTCTCAAAGTTAAATTAATTTTTCCGAGCTAGCTACGAATCTGTAGCTACGGCCCTGTATACACTATACATAATTGATTAATAATCAAGTATTATGGAAAGAATATAAACTTTTAGTGGATGGCACTTAATACTTATACGAGGTTTATATTTTCCAATTAGTTATTATTAATTATAAAGTAAATAAAGCCGAAGGGATGGTTAAGGGCCTGGGTTAAATATTATATTCCTGCAACATAACTTTAAATATAAATTTGATGCCAACCTGCTGCAATAGGGTGTATTATGTAAAAATGTCAAATTAAAAAATACCTTCCTACTTATATGATATACTGGAAATAATTATGTGAAGAAAAGGTATTTTTAAAAATGGTTACAATAAATATATCGAATATAAAAATACGATGTATAAAAAGAAGTTTAGGATAATATGTATTACGTACCTATATCATGTAAGTACTTATGTAACTTTAGACGATAAAGTACACGATCATGGTTTAGATCAAAGTTGAGAATAATTCGAAATAGAATATACATTGTACTGCCTTAAGACGTTGCAAAATAAAAAATACCCTAAGATTGTGCATTATAATATTTTAGTTTTAAAAGTGCTTAGATGCTTAAAAAATATATCAAATATGTATAATATATAATATATATATATTGTAATATTATGTAGTATATAGTCTTCCATGTAGGGAGCCAGTAGCCACGATATCGATTTTCATGGATGGAATTTTATATCAGTGTCCGTAACTTAATACTAAAACGGTTGCGTTTAAAACGATCAGGTTAATAATATATTATGTATATACATGCATACGCATATTTTTTTTTGTTACGCTTAACACTATAGGCCGTAAATATTAACACATGTTCATCTAATGCTAATTATTATATACCTATATTATGTATAATATTTAAAAAATGACACGCTAGAGAGGAACTCGAACCGTCACCACAACAGTATCCGAAATATAAACAGTAAACACGATAAGATACGAGTAATCAAATTTCCGAAGAATAAAAATAAAAAAACTAAACAAGATTCTACTTATAAAACCGTTAACCGTAAAATAATATTTTGTGTCTCGCATTAAAACGCGTTGATGGCTCTGAAAATGGCGTAAACAAAACGTCCGTGTCCGCCGAAAATTATATTCGGACCCTTATGGAAACCGTTTTACGTCATGTCGTCCCACGTCCGACACGCTCTTTCATATATATACCAACATTGTAAATAAAGACCAATGCAAAAAAAACAACACTACTTTACACTACTTCACTGGAAAGAAAAAAAGTGGGTAAATGGATGTCGCTCTGCTGTACAGTAGGTTACAAGTGGGGCCATGTATAAAGGATTGTATTAAACTTGAATTCAATGATATAATATCATTGTATAAGAAAAACCATTCTGAGCGGAGACGGTTTGTCAGTCTGGATATTGTTATTGTTTATTATATCCTGTAAGTTGAATTTATATTACAATAGGTATATTATTATTTTTTATTCGTTTCTATGATGGTGATAGACAAAGCGTTAGAAATTAAAATCCCATTTTTAGAGGTTTTTCGTAATTTTTCAGTGGTTTTTTCTGTGGCATTAAATAACTATTGATAAAATCGAAAAATGCCCTTTCTAAAGTATACCATCTTGATCCAATTTGGTAAAAGATTAGGTACTATATATGTCGAAATCGAAGCACCCCTTCTGGTAGGTAGATATTTTGTATACAGAATAAAAAAAAAAAAAAAAACACCATTCCGCTCAGAATCTAAAATGAAATAATTCGACACAAGTTAGTACTTCGTAGTAGAGCGTGTTTTAGTTTAACAGACCATATATATAATATTTAAAAATAATATTTTTATATATGACATTATCATACAGAGAATTTGATATGATTGGTGTTTCAGACTTTCAGTCGCATCGGCACGACAGTATTTTGGCGCTA